AATTAGTGATCCCCAAAGTGCCATATCCCTTGGTTCCACAATAAAGCATCCAAAAATAACTCTTATTATGGATTGAATTCCCATTAAATGCCATTTCAAGTGCCGAAGCTCGGACCGCAGAATGAGCTGTAAGAGGTAGCGAACATCTCTGTCTCATCTCTCTTGAACTTTATCTCTTGTTGCTGCTGTAATAGCAGATAATAGTTGTACTGTAGAGAGGACAACTATTCAATCAAACTCTGAGACAACGGTGACGTGGTTTGGACAGAATGGATAAGTACCTTGTTAAGAGCGGATAAGAGTGCTTTGCAAGCAAATGTGTGGCTATTCGCACAGTGTCTACTCCAGAGTGGACAGTGGATACAGGCACCTAATCCATTATAGCTGGTGCTGGAAGACAGTAAATCAGGAGTGAGATAGGGGAAATAAGACCACTGGTTAGCTAGAGGATTACATAATGTCACCAGAATAGTTGTCCGCATACACCAATCAGTAATGACATTATGAGCACTGACAGGTGAAGTGAATAACACTGATTATCTGGTTATCATGGTACCTGTCAGTGGGTGGGATATATTAGGTACAATTTGTCCTCAAAGTTGATGTGTCAGAAGCAGGAAAATGGGCAGCATGAGGATTTGAGCGACTTTGACAAGGGACAAACTGTGATGGTTAGACGACTGGGTCAGAGCATCTCCAAAACTGCAGCTCTTGTGGGGTGTTCCTGGTCTGCAGTGGTCAGTACCTATCAAAAGTGGGCCAAGGAAGGAAAAGCAGTGAACCGGAGACTGGGTCATGGCCACTGTAGCTCAAACTGCTGAAAAAGTTCATGCTGGTTCTGATAGAAAGGTGTCAGAACACAGTGCATCAGTTTGTTGCGCATGGGGCTGAGATAATTGGTGTTGGAATGACGGTGGTAAAAAAAAGTTAGTTTTGAGTCCTGTACTATAACTCTCATGCATCCTGCTGTAAACATTGAGGGCAATTCAGAGGAATATTCAGCATCTAATTGCTGCCTTGTATGTATGAGCAGCAGCTTGCATTGTCACCTCTAGTCTATCCTCACGTGCTGTTGAAAGCCGGCATATCACAAACCTTTGTCAGATTATAAGACATACAGGACACTTACATGTTGTGCTGCTGTTAAAAATAGTAAAACTAGATTTACAAAAACACTGTTCCTTGCCTGTACAAGAGTCTCTCTCTCTCTCTCTCTCTCTCTCTCTCTCTATCTCTCTCTCTCTCTTTCTGCATATTTGTTTGTTGTGGTTTCCATGGAGATCTTCTCTCATCACTATGTGTTAAGGGGGAGAGTACTTGGCCTGTCTTCCTCCCCAGACGTCAGAGGTCATCGTCTGCTCAGTCAACCTATAAACCTGCCTGGTTTCCATGAGATATGTTTCCTGTGCACATAGAGATAAATATACACATTTACGTACATTCTTGCTTTTCGTTTACAGTCTGTCCCTATGGGTCCACACACACATACTTACACATTTACATGCAGATATACAAATCAGTTTTTCTGTCACGCTCTCTTTGTCTTTTATTCTCTGAAAACAAGTGCTTGCAAAGGGTTTTAAGGGGGCCAAAGAGCAAAATGAAGATGCAAAACACTCACTTACACTCTCAGCTCTCCCTTTGTGTGTGTGTTTGAGTGTGTGATTGCTTGGCCTGTCTCTCGCCTATCAAGCTCTGGTGTCGTCTTTCTGCCATCTGCCATTGCCACCCTACTGACATGCACACACACACATACATACACAGACATGCACACACACATATTGAGCGCTCATATAATACTCTGTCATCGCAAAACCTGTTCTCTTTTTCTCTTCCTTCAGAGAAAGTCTGTTGTTTCTGTCTGGTTTCCTGTTGTAATTTTGTGTTAGCATCTACTTCTAGGAAAGGAACAAAGGAATAAGGCTTTGTCTAGAATATGAAATTGGAGAATATGCATTTCATGTGTGTTTTTGTGCGTAAGATATTAATATTTAATTCAGCCCCTCCCTCAATCATGTATTAATCATGGGGCAGTCTGCTTAGGCTGAAAATAGCACCTAGCAACCCAGAAAAACAAAATCCATAGTAGTTGTGGGTATGTCATGTGCTGCTGCTTGTTCATGTGTGACAGCACATGGTCTCTTCTCACATTTTCCTTCCTTCCACGCTAAGTTTTCTTTCCCCACGTCTGTCTCTGCCGGTTGAGGGAGGATGGCGACAGAGATTTCTGATGTTTGCATGAGAGATAGATGCAGTCTTGCTCAGTCTTCAAAGTTTTTCAGTGTTGTTGTCTTTAAAAAGTAGTTTATCAGATTTTAGAGTTAGACCTGCGTACATTCTTAAGTGAACTCTGAATATAGCCTGATGTGTCTGTGCTGACACCCACTGAGTATGGGCAAAGTTTGAAACATGTGACTGTGAGGAAGTCTGCTTCCTGAAAGTGGTGATAATTGCAGGATTACTGACCCCACCATTTGTACCAGCTGCCAATCTTAAGGATAAACTGATGTAGGCAGAGTGATGACATAATTTCAGCCTAGCTGTTTGCAGGTGGGAGCAGAAATATAGCTAAGTTTGTGTTGTGAGTGCAAAGACTCTTTCCACAAAAGAGCTTGAATTTAAGACCACAGGGCGGGAGCATGGTGGTTCATGAAGCCTGAGCAAAAGACTGTCTGCTGTGTCACCTAAAAACCAACATTTCTACAGTGGTATCCTGGGAAACGCTCTAAAATGTGTGTTAGCAGGCTTCTTACAATTCAGACCAGCAGGCTAATAATATTCTGGTGTGTACAGTGCAGTCAGAGAGTATTAGGACATTGATGTGTTTTTCATTGTATTGGCAGCACTCCATCACATTGGATTTGAAATCAAAAACAGACTATGAGCTGACTTTGAGCTTTAAGCGTATTTTAGTGTGTTCACATCCACTTAGCAGATTGAGCTGGATATCAGCCCTGATCTTCAGATTCAATTCGATTCTTGATAATTCAGTTACATTAGAGAAATATCAATGTTCCCTAAAGGGCTTCTACATTTAAGTGAACAAAGATGTGTCCTTGAATATAAAATTGTGTAAAGATTATAGGCTAAATTATGCACATATTTCCCGGGTTATAAGACTGTGGACAGTATGTGCTAGCATTAGCTACCCAGACTGAATCCACATACTGTTCAGGTGAAATCCACAGCTTGACAAGAGATAATATCTCATGCTAACCACCCTGAGCAACAACAGTACTGTAAACTGCGGCGGTTCCGCACTGACCTAACTGTTCATGTCAGAGTTTACGTGAATGTTCTTCACTCAAGGTGGCTCATATAGCTAGCTATTATGCATGTTACTTTCTGTAACTTTTAATAACTTGATTTACACAAAGTAAACATTTTACTCTTCAATCAGCTCTAACCACACACAACATTTAGCACAGGTGCAATGTGCAAAAGCAAAATTTGATATCGGGAACAAACAAATGAAATTAATATTAGAACTCACTCATACAGCAAAGAAAGACAAAGAGAAGATAAGCAAGTTCCCTCATTGTCGAACAGTAGATTGTTGTCTCTGTAAGACTGATCTTGTGATTTGCTAAGGGCCACTCTTAAAAGGCCCTGATGGCTGCATTACAATTACACATTGCAGCACAACAGTGTCTACTGGTGTATCTTGAGTTGAGTTGACTTCTGCCTGTCATTGACATAAAATATTGTCTTTATGCTTTCCTGACTGCGTTGCTTGTGTTATTTGGGGCATGTGTAACCCAGGTCAGATCCAGCTATGAATACTATCATGTCACTTATTTTTAACATGTTATACTCCTGATACAAGTTCAAGGGAGACGTATTCTCCTCAGAGCATCAGCTAGTCAAAAAAAATAATAATTGTGTTCAATTTGTTGGCTCTTACTGTTGCTTATTCAATTTCTCAAAAGTTATTTACAAAATTGTGCAGATTTTTAATAAAACGTATTGAATTGTGGCAGTAATTTGTAGAGCGGAGTGGGAATAAGTGAGAAAAGATTAGTTTGAGTGTGTTTCCTACCAGGGCATTTATAGATGGGTCCTTCAGGAGTTTAAGCCACAGTCTGTTTCTGTTACTGGTTTTATTACCATCTGCAGCATGTAACTGCACAATCATGAGAAAACAGCTTCTGTTTGTTTAAGCCATAAAAGCACATGAAGGGCCAGTTCTATATCAGTGACCTTCTAAACCAAATTAATCAATTTGGTTTTCTCAGAGATGGGCCAGAAAAGTCTTTAGCCTTTGTTTCTGTGTCCCATATCTTTTCATCGCTGAAGCCAGATTAGCATTAATGTTACAAATAAGAAAGCCTGCAATCGGAAATGCTGATCACTTAAAGTAAGGATATATCATCAAGATATCATATCTTGCTTGTGAACGCTTTCTTTTATCTTTTGTTTTGTTGTTTTGTAGTTTTTTTCCTCAGATTTCACCAAATCATGGGAGTTTTGTAATCTGTTCCTAATTTCACAATCAACCTAATACAACTGCAAATACTCTCACTGTTGTGGATTAGCAAGGATAGTTGATATTAATCTTAATCCAATAATGCATAATGGAGATTATTTTTATGTTTTATTTTTTTAAGATGTGTTTTAGAAAGCCAGTTTTCAAGGATTAAATTATTAGCGCCCCTGGTTGGATTTCTTGGGGCAGCTGGCTCGTAATGTGTGCTACAATGTGTGTTTTTTCCTTCTCTCTCTCTTGCTCGCTCGCTCGCTCGCTCTCTCTGTCACTGTCCGACTTTGTTGAAAAGATATCATATTACTGTACACATCTGCTTTGTTTTTGTCACTCTCTACTGCTTGTTTTCTCTCATTTCCCACTCCACTCATCGTCTTGGTTTCTCCATACCCCTGTCCAGTGGTCTCTTTCCTGTGAGCTGTAGACAGATGTTGGTGGTTTGAATGTTTTCAGCTGCTGATTTTAATACCACATACTGAACACCACATTTAATACATCTTTTTCTGCTCTCTGGCAGGTGGCTTGACCAGCAACGAGCAGCCTCTGGAACTTCTTAAACCAACTGCACTCAATCATTTTGGTAGGAAATCTGTGTGTGTGTGTGTGTGTGTGTGTGTGTGTGTGTGTGTGTGTGTGTGTGTGTGTGTGTGTGTGTGTGTGTGTGTGTGTGTGTGTGTGTGTGTGTGTGTGTGTGTGTGTGTGTGTGTGTGTGTGTGTGAACTGAATTTGGATAAATGGACTGATCTGATAACTCAGTGATTTTCAGTGCAGTGAATGAAGTAAAAGGAGACTGATAAAAAAAAAAAAAATTGTGATTCAACCTCTGCCCAAATTCATGAAAGGTTGTACATTTGTTATCCTAAACATCTTGTAGCAGTTTGGCTTTTCTAGGGAAACAAAACTCTGGCATACCAGATCAGGATCAATGTCATTTCCTTAAAATCAACAACCTCTGTGATATTAAAGAGTGATCTCTGGCAAACATATGGCAAAATATGTTGCCAAAATAACTAATTTGGATTGCTGTGCATCATTTGAGTAATATATTAAAAACATATTTTATATATATATTTTTTTGAAAGCAGAAAATATTTTATTTGGTTATAGATTTGATCAGTGTTCCTTGTTTCTGTCTGGTATTTACAGTACTAACGCTGGTGCTTCCCCACTCAGAGGCTTCAGAAACACACTCACCTGGAGCTGAGTGATTGATGCAGTCATGTCTTCGGGTTTACTGATGTGTAATGCACCACATGTGATTACAGAACATCAGTGCTCAATGGGGGATTTAGTGATATCGTGGTTACCTTAGCTGGCTAATGTATGGCTCAAGAATACACTTTGTCAGTGTCTGTTTATGAGGAAACGTATCATTTACTCTGAGTATGTAATCATTTCCACCAGCTGACGTCGCATGTTGTTTTTAGCACATGGCAATGCATTATTCAGTGGCCGACTCCTTTTAGAATTCGCACTGCACATGCCAGCGCGCACGTGCATGTGCGTGACAGTGCATGTGAAACGCGACATTTTGTAGGAACTTCACGCTCTTGTTGACAGGAACGTGGGATGATCACGCCACATCAGCATGTCATCAACCCACAAGCGGTATGTTTGTCCCATGTGGCGGGTGGAAATGCTGATGCAGCTGTGATGTCACAGATATGGTTGCCAAGACCTGGAGCCTTAGCCTGTTAATAGCATGTTTCATTGCTAGAAACAGTGACACACGAAACTTCATAAACACACAGACAAGTTCTACATATAAACACAGTGTTTAATTGCTTCTTTATGCTTGTGTGGAGCTTTTTTTATGTTGAATTTTTGAGATCAATTATTCAGAAATAAAAATATTGGGTTCACCAATAATGTGCTAGAAAAGTTGAAAACCTCCTTAAAATGATAAATAAAATGATTATAAAATAATATAAAAGATAGAAGAGCATTTTACTGCCTGTTAGTTGTAGATAATGCACATACACTTAAACACCCCATTTAGACCAACACAGTGATGTGGGTCACATGCTGGGTTTAATGTGGGTTAGAGACCTGCCTTTGGTGACTAGACATCGCTAATAGGGATATAAATGACTTTAATAATGTGAGAGAAAGACCTTTGACAGCTGTCTCATATGAATGAGACCATTAATGTATGTTCAGTTGACCCATGTCAGAATCATGTTCTCTGTGTGAGGGGATTGTTACCTGTAATAAATGTCCACACACACACAGGCCCAGTTCACACAAACACAAAATAAATTCAGCAATAAAACAACAAAACAATGTTGTTAGCACTTATTGTACCATAAATGATTGTGCCGTAAACTCAATACTTCTCATTTGTTATTGAATAATCATTTCAGAAATGGATTTACTAATCACAGGAGTTACAATTTATACAAATAATTTATGATAAGCAGGACTGTTTTTTTTTTTTTTTTCCTTTCAATGTTGTGTAACTGGCTTTTGAATGGGTATAGGAAGGGTGACATGCGGAGATGTGTGTGTGTGTGTGTGTGTGTGTGTGTGTGTGTGTGTGTGTGTGTGTGTGTGTGTGTGTGTATTTTGGTTTCTTCACTTTTGCAAATAACATTTCTAGATGTCACTCACTCTCAACATGTGTCCATTGTTGCTGAAATGTTTTTTTTTTCTACATTTTACTAAATAATTCAAGCACTATGGTGAAATGGCAGAAGCTTAGGTTATCAGACCGTTTTTCATGTACCATTTGTACTTTAAAATGCTGACAAACTACAGACAAACTTCCACAATGTATAGTCATCATGGAGTTTAGTAGGTTAGGGGTTAAGGATTCTAGTTACTGTGTACTTCCATCACATACACAGTACTTCAAATCATCAGACTGAAAGGCTCAATCAAATTAGACCTGAAAAATGCTTGATACATCCCTAATAATAACTGAATATTTAAATGCCTGCCAAAAAAGGACAACAGCATTTTATTGGAATAAGTACAGTACAATGCTCTATTAACACATTCATGAGATGTGTTAGAATTAATTAAGAGGGTGCCAAGAGCAACAGTAACACTTCCTGTTGGTGTGTGTGTTTGTCCTATGCTGTGAGGTCCATTTCAGCACAGAACCCAGTAAAACGGCAACAGCTGCGGCCGACGCTGGTGACCTTTAATTTACCGGCCAGCGTGTTTGTGCATTTTTGTTACAGATAAGTTTGGGGTCAAATGCAGAATGAGCGTCAATAAGAGTGAATGAATGAAAATTTGAGAGAGAGAGGTGGGGATGAGGAAAAACTCTGTGATAGAAGACAGATTTGGGTGCATATTAAATAGGATGACTAAATTGTGCACAGGAGGAGGCACTGTAAGAGGAACAGAAGTCAGCACCTTTCAGAGACACTTCCACACTTAGATGTGAATGTGGGTTTGAGCATCTGTTTGTATCCGAATCCGACATTAGGAGATGGAGCGAAAATGAAAGACTAGATAAACATGTATTAATGGGTGTGTGTGTGTGTCTGTGTCTGTGTGTTTGCATGGCATGTCTGTCCGTCCGTCACACCAAATAGCCTAAACTAGGCTCTTTTCTCCTCAAGCCAAAACAGCTTTCTCCCACTCCGCACAAATTAGCAGCAGCCCACGCTCCACTAACACATAACTGTCAGAGCACAGACACTGCAGGGAGTGAGGAGGAGTGAGGGGAAGGTGAGAGAAGTGATGAGGAAAGAGGGGGGAGAGGAAGACAAATTGGGAGAAGAGGCTGGATAAATAGAGAAGTGACAGATAATGTAGACCAGAAGTGGTTTTGTCGCTCACAGAAGCGCTTCGTTGTAGCTCCTTTCATCGGGGCCTGGTGTGCACCATTGGTAATCGTCAAGAAACGTGACAGTTGTCTCTTTTAGTTTTTTAGTCTTAATGCTTTGTGCACACATCCATTTTCTGTCCACACGGTGCTGATATTAGGCTTAACAGAATGTAAGGCGGAGAGGAAGTTGAGAGAGAAGGATGACGAGCTGTTCACACAGGGAGTGGCAGACCTGTTGGCGAGCTTCTGTTTTTCGGACTGAACAGCTTATCTTTATCTTTATTTAGAGTTGTCAATTATCTGTGAGCACTTAAGAACCTGAAAGAAGGGGAGCGAAAGGGGGGAGTTGCTAAAATAAATGCAATGGATGGAGGAGGGTGGGGCGAGATGGAGATGGTAAAAGAGACAGAAAGAGAGAGTGACATGGAGGAGAACAGCAATTTGAGGAGAAGAGGGCCTGGATAAGTAGAAAAAGAGGGATGAGGAAAGGCACATTATGCAAATATCGGCACGCTCATTACCATTTCAAAACTCTGGAAAGGAAATCACGAAAAGTGGAGAGATGCATATTTTTGGACTACGCCAAATTCATTCTCACTCTCTGTATCTCAATTTCTCTAACTATCTCTCTCTCTCTCTCTCTCTCTCTCTCTCTCTCCCTCTCTCTCTCCCTCTCCCTCACACACACCACCACCCCTCTCTCTTGGTGTTGCACTAACTCCAGTCTCCTCTCTTATTTCTCAGTTTGTGATTTCTATTTCTGTGCTCACTTGGTCTCTGATTTTACATGTTCACTCTGCATCTTTACACTCAGCAGCTACTTTATTGGGTACGCCTTTGTAGTACGGGGAAGGATTCCTCTTTTCCTCCAGAACAGCATGATTTTTTTGTTGCACGGATTCAGTTAGAAACATTACTCTGAGATTGTGGTCCATGTTGACACGATAGCATCATGAATCATAGATTTATTGGCCGCACATTAATGGCCAACAATCTCCTCTTCCAACACATCCCAAATGTGCTCTATTGGAATTTGGAGCGTAATACATGGTGTGTTATCCTGCAGGAAGTAATCATTTGAAGATGGGTTGATTGTGGCTATCAAGGGATGAACATGGTTAACAACAATAGTCAGGTATGTTACATTTAAGAATTGCTCCATTGGTATTAGGAAGCCAGATTCCAATCACCATTACCCCATCAGCAGCAGCAGCTGCAGCAGTCAGGATGGATCCATGTATTCATGATGTTCATACCAAATCTTGGCCACCTACCAGCAGAAACCAAGACTTTTTTAGATCACAAAAAGGTCTTCAAAGATACTTAAATCACCCCACCTGGCACCAACAATCATTCTAATGTCAAAGTCCTCTTAACTGACAAATTATTGTTCAATTAGATATTTAAATTAAGGAACAGTGGTGCGCCTGTTGACCCGGAGTCACAGCAGAAGATTGTAGTAAAAAGCCTTTTTAATCTTGCACTTTAACATACTTCTTTACTGTTGATATGTGAAGTATTTTCCAAGCTACAAAGCTTCAAAGGAAGCAGTGTTTGCAGTGACGTACTGATATCATGATTATGCGATCCTCTTCATGTAATTATAAAGAAAGTGATTAACAGTCAACACCTTTTGATAAGTCAGAACTGTGATAACACCATGTGAGTTAATCGCTTCTATTTCCTCTTCGCTTTGAATCTCCCTTTTTTTTTGTGAATGCAATGTGCATTTAACAGATGTAATACATGAAGAGAGGAGAGTGAAAAAGCAGTTGAAAGGGGACAGGATTAGTGTTGTG